GGAGCGGGAGAGAGCGGCCCGCGCTCCGGGCCCCCTCCCCCGCCCCCCTGACGTCAGCCCCCGGCCGCCGCGAGAACGCTCACTTGGCTTTAGCCCTCCGGCCGTGAAGCATGGAGCTGTCCAGGCTCGTCTGTGCTTTCTTGCTCGCCGCCTGCTGCTGCTGTCGCCGCGCCGCGGGTGAGTGAGGTCGCTGGGGAGCCCGCGTCCGGAACGGCTCGGGCCAGGGGGCTTCGGGAGCGTGCCCCGGAACAGCGCTGGCGACGCGGTGGAGGCCGGGGCTGTGCGCTTTGGCGTGCGCTCCTCCTTCTCGGGTCCCCGGCACCGGGGCGCCTTGCGCGCGTGCAACTCTTCTTTGCAGCCAATTTGCAGCCTCTATTCTAGAGTATCCCCAGAGCAGGATTGGGGAGGCGGGGAGGAGGCTGCTGCCCGGAGCGGAAAGGGGTGGAGCCGAGCCTTTTCGGGCTTTGGGGTGAGCTTTTCCTCAGGTGCTTACTCTGGGGGCACGCAGTTGGAGCCGTGACGAGTGGCGCAGCTAGAGCGCATCCCCAAATTCTGAATTCCGCTCCCGCCTGTTGCTGGAAAAGGCAGCTTTCTTAGCTGGAGGGGTGCGCCGAGCCCTCCCTCTCCCGCCTGGGCTTCGAGCCAGGCTGGAGGTGAGCGAGAGGCGGAGGGACGGCGGCTCCCGCCCGTGCTGGGCGTTGGCAAGGGCCGGGGGGCGGCGTGGGTCGTCCTGCGCCTACCCGGGTGACGGGATCACAGGTGGGAGAGACGAGGGATTGAGGATCCCCAGAGTGGAAGCGCCCCAGACTTGTTACACCTCCGGGAATGGGACCACATTCAGGCGGGAAGAGCGCCCCTGCACCTCGGAGTTTGCCTCTGGAAATGCCTAGGAGCAGGGCGCGCCCGGGTCCACGCTGCCCTTGTATGGCCCGCAACAGGGTCGCCTGTTTCTCTTGGCCTCTCGTCCCGGGTCGCAGCCGCTGTTCGGCAGGGGAAGGGGAGGGCTAGGCAATACCCAGCTCCTGGCCTCATGCCCAGTGCCAGCAGCGTCCCTGGGGCACCCCTGGCTGCTGCCTTCCAAGCTGACTGTATTTCTGGAGAAAAGGCTAAATTGGGCTCCACAGCTGCAGCACGTCCAGCCGCCTCTGCCCTGCTCTTCTAGCTCTGGGGAAACGGAGTCAGGGATCTGAGGCTTCTGCTCTGGGTTGAAGAGCACTCCATCTGCCGTCCGTGTCTGGAAGCCAGCCCAGGGCAACAACCCTGGCATCCCACAGTCCAGCCAGATGGTATCGAGTGACATCACCTTCTCACAGGGCAGGCAGCATGCTGGCACCACTGATGTCACTCCTGCCCACTGCCTGGCCCTTGCCCTGACCCTTGGGGGAGACTCTGACCCCTCCCTACTCACAAGACTCCCCGGAGGGGTTCCCCTGAGTGTGTGGGATGTTCACCCAAGTGCTGCTTAGAGAGTATGAGATGGGAGTTTCTGGCCAGGGTTGGCCCACTGGGTCTTGTGGGGGATTTGGGGGAAGGGATTTTTGGGGGGCAAAGAGGGTGGAGTAGTGATGTCTTCCTGTGGGTGTGGGGACACAAAGGGGCCTGTATGCCCCAGCTTGGCACATGTCTCGCATTCCCACACACTGAGCTCACTGGGAGAGGAGGGGCCTGTAAGGAAAGGGGCCTTCCTCTTGGCCCAGAGCCTGGGTTGCCCCTCTGCTAGTCTCATCTGGGAGGTGCCTGGGGCTCAGGGTCTCTACTCCAATGACCAGAAGTGACCATCCCCAACTCCCTTGAACTGGGAGAGGGCTGGCCCGGGGCTGAGGGTAGAGAGTGGTTGAAGGTTAGGAGAGGACAGGGCCCTCTTCAGATCCTGGAAGTGGCAGCAAGGACAGCTGCAGTGAGCGGGTGTGAGGGGAGGGCATGGAGAGCAGCTGGAGCTGACACAACTGCTGAGGGTGTTCCTCTCCCTCACCCCCAGGTGTGCCCGGAGAGGCGGAGCAGCCTGAGCCTGAGCTGGTGGAGGTGGAAGTGGGCAGCACGGCCCTTCTGAAGTGTGGCCCCTCCCGTTCCCAGGGCAACTTCAGCCACGTGGACTGGTTTTCTGTGAGTGCTTGGGCCCCAGAGAGGGCAGCAGGGGCAGGAGGGTCTACCTGCCCCCACACACACACATGTTGCCCCAGGACCCTCATTGCCTCTCTATCACCTCCCCTTAGGTCCACAAGGAGAAGCCCACACTCATTTTCCGCGTGCGCCAGGGCCAGGGCCAGAGCGAACCTGGGGAATACCAGCACCGGCTCAGCCTCCAGGACAAAGGGACTACTCTGGCCCTGACACATGTCACCCCCCATGATGAGCGCATCTTTCTGTGCCAGGGCAAGCGTCCTAGGTCCCAGGAGCACCGCATCCAGCTCCGTGTCTACAGTGAGTGCCCCCATCTGTTTTGTGGGCAGGGTGGGTCTTGGGAAGTGGTGGTCCCATGGCCTTCCTCATTTCTGTCCCTTGTAGAAGCTCCAGAGGAGCCAAGCATCCAGGTCAATCCCTTGGGCATTTCTGTGAACAGTCAGGAGCCTGAGGAGGTGAGATAGGCTGGGGTGGCAGGTGGTAAACGGAGCTAAGGCGGGGCTTGGGGGGGTGGTCTCAGAGGCAGGGAGACTCACACTCTGTCCTCCTTAGGTTGCTACCTGTGTGGGGAGGAACGGGTACCCTATTCCTCAAGTCATCTGGTACAAGAATGGCCGGCCCCTCAAGGAGGAGAAAAACCGTGAGTAGCCCTCTCAGCCCTTAAGAGCCATGCTTATGGCACCACTCAGGGACCACCTTGCATTTTATTTTACTTTTTTTTTAAGTACACAAGTGATGCTTGAAAATATTTTCATAAGAATTTAAACTGTACAGAAAATCTAGAAGGAAAATTTCCTCCCTGCCCCAGACTCCTTCACAAACGTCATCTCTGCTGGCAATCAGTGTGTGTTCTTTCTAGCCTATTTCTGTGTACTTACACATGTATGTATCTTGAGATTATTAGAGTTTTTTTGTTTTTTATCTAAATCAGTGGTTCTCAGCCAGATTAGGATTTTGCTCCTAATCTGGAGAGATTTGGCCATGTCTGGAGACAGTTTTGGTTGTCATAAATGGAGAGGCGCTACTGGAATCTAGTGGGTGGAGGCCAGGGATGCTGCTAACATTCTACAGTGCACAGGACAGCCCCACAACAGAGAATGATCTGGCCCCAAATGTCAACAGTGCTGGAGTTGAGAAACCCTGAGCTAAATGGTATCGTATGGTATACGTTGCTATACAATTTCATTTTTCTTTTGACAGTGAGTTTTGGAAATCTTTCCAGGTCAGTCTATTTAGATCTGACTCTTGCCTACTGCCCCATATTCCCTACGACGTATGTAATGTAGTTTTGTTAACCATTCATTCCCCTGTTAGTAGACGTTGAGAGTGTTTTCTCTTTTTATCACTGCAGCATCATTTGCACACATCATTTGCACACATGTGCCCATGTGTATGTGTTTATCCAGGGTAGATAATGAGCACTCAAACTGCTGGGTTCAAGGGTCACAGCCTGCATTTGTACCTGGCCCTCTACAGGGAGCAGGGGTCCCTTAGGTGCTCCCCTGCCAACCCCCAAGGAGACCAGGGAGTAGGGTTGGACGTAGGGCTGAGACCAAGCCACTCTCCCCTTCCTCCCTGCCCAGGAGTCCACATTCAGTCATCCCAGATTGTGGAGTCGAGTGGCTTGTACACCTTGCAGAGCATTCTGAAGGCACAGCTGGTTAAAGAAGACAAAGATGCCCAGTTTTACTGTGAGCTCAACTACCGGCTACCCAGTGGGAATCACATGAAGGAATCTAGGGAAGTCACTGTCCCTGTTTTCTGTGAGTACTGACCCAGTGGGGTGGGGTCTGGCAGAAACTCCTGCTAGCTCCTCCCGCCCAGCGCAGGAGCAGCTCTTACTGAGAGCCACCCATTTTGCCTGTGCAGACCCCGCGGAGAAAGTGTGGTTGGAAGTGGAGCCCATGGGAATGCTGAAGGAAGGGGACCGCGTAGAAATCAGGTGTTTGGCTGATGGCAACCCCCCACCCCACTTCAGCATCAGCAAACAGGTACAGAGGGCTCCGTGTGCTGGTGCAGACAGAGATGCAGAAGTTGTGGGAGGTACACTCTACTCACTCCTTCATCCTCTCCCAGAACCTCAGCACCAAGGAGATGGAGGAAGAGATAACTGATGACAACGGGATCCTGGTCTTGGAGCCTGCCCAGAAGGAGCACAGTGGTCTCTATGAATGTCAGGGCCTGGACTTGGAAACCACAGCATCACTGCTGAGTGACCAACAGGAGCTGCTAGTAAACTGTGAGGGGCTGGGGGCCAAGAACAGGGGGACCGGGCTGGGTCAAGAGGGAATTTGCCCCACTCTTCTGCACACAGGATGACACTACTGCTGTGTCCCCAGATGTGTCTGATGTCCGAGTGAGCCCTGAAGCCCCTGAGAGCCAGGAAGGCAGCAGTCTCACCCTGACCTGTGAAGCAGAGAGTAACCAGGCCCTTGAGTTCCAGTGGCTGAGAGAAAAGGTACCCAGGCGGGCCTGGGGCTGTGGGGCAAGGGGTTGTGGGAAGTGGGGGGCTGTGAGTGACCCTCTGACCCTTCTCTCATCCCAGACAGGCAAGGTGCTGCAGAAGGGGCCTGTGCTCCAATTACACAACCTGAAACGGGAGGCAGGGGGAGGCTACCGCTGTATAGCGTCTGTGCCCAGCGTACCTGGCCTGAACCGCACACAGCTAGTCAATGTGGCCATTTTTGGTGAGGAGGCCCTCTGGGCAGAGATCAGGTAGCCCCTTGAAGCCACCCCAAGTTGGGTGGTTTCAAGCTCTTTGACGACAAAAAGCCACCTGCTGTCCTGGGGTGCTCTGGTGGGGAGGGGGAGGCAGGCTAGCGGAGTTTGCTGCCTCATCCTTCTCCCTACCTCCCCAAGGGTCCCCGTGGATGACATTAAAGGAGAGGAAGATGTGGGTGAAAGAGAACACAGTGTTGAATCTGTCTTGTGAAGCATCAGGACATCCTCGGCCCACCATCTCCTGGAATGTTGACGGCGTGGTGAGCAGGCCCATTTTCTCTTCCTATGCTTTCATTAATCCCTGCCCAGGCTTTGCTGCCATGACCGGACATCCTCCCCGCCCCCTGAGCTGCGTCTCCTTCCTTGTAGGCAAGTGAACATGACCAAGATCCGCAGAGTATCCTGAGCATCCTGAATGTCCTTGTGACCCCAGAGCTGTTGGAGTCAGGTGCTGAATGCGTGGCCTCCAACTCCCTGGGCAAAAACACCACCATCATTTTCCTGGAGCTGGGTAAGGACCTTGTCCTGCAGAGTGTGGCAGGGTCATGCCCAGGCATGGGCATTAACTGGTGCTTTTCCTAACCCATCTTTCAATCCATTTAACTACTCTCACACCAGACTCCAACAGGACCACTGGCCTCAGCACTTCCACTATCAGTCCTCATGCCAGAGCCAACAGCACCTCCACAGGTAAGTGGGGCCTGGCATGAGAACAGGGCTGTGCCAGGGCATCCTCTTCCTGCCCTGACCCTCCCTGGGGAGCCCTGTCAAGAAAGGTGAGCAGTGGCCTATCTTCTGTCAGCCCTGGGCTGGGTGGAGCAGCGATGGAAACGTGGGAGCCCGGGGCAGGGAGTGACTAGGAGTGTCTTTGTGGACAGAGAAAAAGCTGCCAGAGCCCGAAAGCAAGGGTGTGGTCATCGTGGCTGTGACTGTGTGCATCCTGGTCCTGGCTGTGCTGGGCGCTGTCCTCTATTTCTTCTACAAGAAGGGCAAGCTGCCGTGTGGACGGTCAGGCAAACAAGAGATGTAAGCACGGTACCTAGCGCTCTGCGCCCCTACCCCATCTCATGCTGCCCAGCTTGCTGCCTCCTCGAGACGTTCCCCTGCCTGCCCCAGTGCCCACTCGCCCCGGAGGAGCAGGCCTGGGCCGCTGGGTCTGAGCGCTCCCTGCTTTACTGCCTGCTACCCAGCTTCCATCACCCACACCTTCTCCCTTTCATTCACTACCTGTTTCCCTTCCCTGAGCTGGCCCCAGAGCACCTAAGAGCCCATCACCCAATCCAACATCCTTCCCAACGGCCCTCCCCTTCCCTTGCCCCCGAGTTGCCAACCTCTTGCCTCCCTCCCTCCTCCCAGCACGCTGCCCCCGTCTCGTAAGAGCGAATTTGTAGTTGAAGTTAAGTCAGATAAGCTCCCAGAAGAGATGGGCCTCCTACAGGGCAGCAACGGTGACAAGAGGGCTCCAGGAGACCAGGTAGGAGGCAGGTCCTGTGGTCAGTGCCTGACACATCTTCAGGGCTTGGGAGCAATAGGGACTAATGGTTCTCGTTCCCCCCAAACACTAACTCTTTCTATCCTTCTCCTTCTCTGTTGGAGATTGGCAGCAGGCCCCATCTTGCCTTCCTAACCCTACTCACAGATGGTAGGGCCAGGCAAGTGGCTGAGGGACCCTGGAGAGAGGGTAGCTCCCAAGACTGAGAGCAAAGACCCTGTCCCATCACCATCACCTTCTCCTGAACCATGCCTGTGGCTCAGGTCACTAGGTGTGTAGTGTGGCCCAGTCCAGTCTGGGGGCCTACTCTCTCCTTCCCTGCGTGCCATAGCTGCCCTTGCTTCTTCCCTCCAGGCTGCTGCCCCCTGTTCATCAGCTTTTGCTTCTGTCCCTCCTCCCTTAGTGCTCACACCTTGAACTCTGGTCACTGTCTCCACATTCTCCTTACTTTTCCTCCTCTTCACCCATTTTTAGGGAGAGAAATACATCGATCTGAGGCACTAGCCCACTGAATCACACCAAGCTCCTTTCCCGCCTGGAACATTTCCTGCTTCCTGCGCACTCTCCCTCCTCCCCAGCACTCAGGATGGTGGCCAAAGCCTCTAAAGTGGACTACAGAGAAGACCCCTGCTCCAGCTCACCTGCAGAACCCATTTGAGGGCAAATGGGCTAGGAACAGAGCCGTCCTGATGAGGATCTCACGTGCCCTGGAGGCCCCCTCTTCAGGGACCATTCCACCACCCTCTCAATTTATTGAGTGACACTCATCCCAAGGAGGGGGCCTCAGTCCCCCAGGAGTGGGTAGGAGAGTTTCTCTTTACCCACGTTACAGCTGTAAATACCCGTCTTTGACCAGAAGCTGAATTAGGTAGCCTATTTATCTTGAGCTGATTTCCTGCCCCAAAGGCTGGCTTCATAATTCAGTTGTATCACTGAAGTGAGGATGCACTGAGGCCAGGCCCCTCTCCAGTGGTGAACTATGTTGCTCACACCAGTGCTGGAGAGTACCCCAGCATTATCTAGAAGCAGCTGACTGCCTGCCTCTGAAGTCCTTTTTGTGATACATCCTCCTCTGGACAGAAGCCAGGAATTGGTGTCATTCTTTAAAAGACATGCTGGGTAATCTCACTGTCCTTGCAGTGAGCAAGCTGGGCACTGTTTTCCAGAGTTAAGGCCATTGAGCCCGAGCCCCCTGCATTCATTCAGCTCCCACTGCCCTCAAGGGGTCATGTAAGACTGAAAGGTGGGAGTAGGGGACAGAGATGAGGTCAAGACTGTCCTTTATGGGGATTACAGCTATAGTTGTTATAGTAGCACCAAACTTCTACAAACCAAGCTAATGGGCTTAGACCCTAGCAGAAGGGCCCTAATGGGAGAATGGATACTTAGGATGAGAAACCGGCCTGGCTAAAGCTTTGGGGTATGTATGTGTATCTATGTGTGTGTGCGTGTGTGTATATATATATATATATGGTTTTGTTAGGTTGTGTGTAAATTTGCAAACTGTTTCCTTTTTATATATATATATGAAAAATAAAGCTTGATTGTCCCAGAAATCTTACACTGCTTTTTATTGGTCATGGGTACCAGCAGCCTGGGGCCTCCAGAATTGGAACTGTACCAAAAGGAACATAAAACCCTTTGCAGCTGGGAGCAGAGACCAGGGGTTACCTTTGCTTTTGAGCAAATGGCTCAAGCTCTACCATGGTGGATAATCACCCTACTTCTCAGCAGCAAAGCTGCCCTGCCGGAGACAGCTTGCCTGGCCTGGCAGGCTGTTGGCAAGGAACTCGTGCCCTTTTTCTATGCTTTCCTGTCACTTAGACTTGCCCTGGAAGTAACAGTACAGACTTACTATGATGAATAAGTGGGCCTAGGCCCTGTCACTCCTTCACTCCAACCAATGAGCAAGAATTCAAGTCTGCTACAACAAAAGAAACTTTATTTAAAAATATTTTTTTTACAGACATGGGTGCTTGAAAAAGCTCTTTAGTTAACTGTGTATGGAAATGAAAAAAATTAATAAATAACATTAGTATAACAGACCTCTAAACATTAATACATTGGCAAAACAAAATGGACTTAAAATGAAAATGAATCTTAAAGCTCTGCTATTCTCTGTAAGACTATTTACCTTCTGTTTTTCTTATTCTTTACAGGTGAGAAAGATTAAATACTGCTAATATAAATTTTTTTATATTAATGACACATTTTTAAAATAGTCCACAAAAATCTCATCTAAGTTTTCGTTTTGTTTTATTTTTAACACTGATATACAAATTGGGACTCTTCACTCTGGAGAAAGCACTGAATTTTCTCCAGCCCCACCCAGGCCAAGAATGTCAAGATCCTAAATCAGGAGGACTTTAAAAAGAATTGTCTCTGTCTCCCAATTCTTTATTAGTTAAAGGCAGAGAAGAACTGAGAAAAGGAAAGAGATAAGTAAAATGTCATTATATAGGAAACATTTTTTCTCTTTTTTCTGCCGAAACCTATAGCAGCCACAATACTGAGGACAGGCTTGTGGAACATGGTCCTTGCTGGTTTTCCCAGGGGAAAACAAGACCCTACAGAGGGTACCAGCTGCTTAATGCTTTAAGTCTGAAGTCTTCAAAGGAAAGGACAGCCTAGTGTGAAGGAAGAGGCAGGAGGTCTAGGCCCGTTTAGGGTCCAGCAAGAAAACAAGACAAAAACAACCAACCAACCACCCCTCCCAGGAGAGCCCATCCCACACTTCTCCATGCGGTTGGGTGAGGAACAGGATCAGGAGGCTGGGACACTTGAAATGGTCCAGAGCATACCTGGAAATCAGGGAACATTCTGTCTTTTCTTGCTGGAGACAGAGCATTCAACCTGATAACTAAGATTGTGATTGGAACCAACCCAATGATCCCAGGGTACAATGCTTATTTCTCCTGACTAAGCATCATGGCAGGGAGAAGGAACCACTGACACGGCACACCTGTGTGCCATCTTTCCAGCCACAGAGCACTTCCTTCTTCCTTTCCCCTAGACTGGAGGGACTAATGACACTCAAGGTGGAGGAGCTAAGACTCTGGTATTTCCATATTAAGTCCTAAAATGCAGCCTGGGATACAGTGCTGCCTTAGAAAGGCACAAAATGCTTGGCTTTTTTTTTTTCAGTGTGCTAAAAATTATTTTGTTTTGAATAAAGGAAAAAGATATATAAGGTTAAAAATCCCAAGTCACCACAGCCAGAAAGCAAATGTAGGAGGTACCTCATAGCTGCCACACCCCCACCACGTGTTTCAGCAGGAGGTCAAGGCCAAGACACCAAAACAGTGCCGAGGAGGGTAGGTCAGGAGGCATCCAGTCTCATGGGCATTGCGCCTGCAGGCTTACTCACCCAGACAGCAGAAGGAAGAAGCCAAGGAAGAGAAAACACGTGGTCTACAGACTCTTAAGTAGTTCTCTGCCTCTTCAGCTTCAAGACAGCCATAAGCATGGCTACCCTCACCCCTATCAGGGTCAGAGGTAGGTAGGGAGGAGGGAACTGACACATAGGGTACATTAACACATACGTCAGAGTGCCACGCTCGGGCACACAGTTCACCCTGCACACATTACACTCCACTTCAGGGCCTGAGCATAGAGGCAGTGCAAGGCCTGAGGAGTTGCACATAGCATGTCTTGAGCAATACCCCCTCTGGCCTCTCAATCTGGTTCAGAGGTGGAAGGAGAACTTGTGACAGGTAATGTGGAGGGCGCCTCTCACATTCATTTTTGGGATTGAATCAAGAATATGGGGCCGGGCAATCAGAACTTTGCTGATTTGTTCTGCTGCCAAATCAGTAGGAACTATGAGGTTGGCTTTCAGCCTTTGCTCTGTACAAACACAGGGAGTGGTCAGCCACATTCTTCTCAAGCACTATACAAGGGAAGGGGCAGCAAGATTTCCAAACAGCTGTTGGTCCGTTAGTCAACAGCTGGCCCTTCAGCACGGCGCTTTCCATCTGCCTGGGAAGGAGCCTCCGTGCAGGGCTCCCTCTCCCCATCCCTATTTCTCCGTCTCTTACTCTTGTGCCACTTTCCGGAACCAGGAAACGCTTATCTTTGAAACCAACCCAGATTTCCTAGGACACTGTGAAGGCACATGGCACTGCTGTCCCTCTGCTCCTTAATTCTGGAGCCTTGACGAAAATGTCCAGTGTAAAGTCTGACGACTCACCCTTCATCATGTGCCTCAATGTGTATCTTTGGATTATTAGGTTACTTCTGTGTATATCAAATGACTCCAGTAGTTTAGAAAAGTTATAAGTAATTATGAAATGCCTTAATAACACAGGACAGGCTCTGGGATTAGATAAGTAAGACCAAAAGATTCAGGCAGGCAGAAGCACAGTTTTTAAAAATAAAAAAATAAAGCCTTTAATATACAAAAGAAAGCAATTGGACAAGGAAGACAAAGGTATCCTGTCTAAAGAGCTCTCAGTAAAAACTCTATTCTAAATTGGAATCTATATCTAATTTACATCCTGGCAACTGTCCCAACTATTATATACTCTTACTGGCTACAGCAAAGTCATTTCTGAGGTACCTAGGAAGGCTTGCCTAAGAATATTACTGCAGAGCTCCCTCCATAGAGGAAAGACCAAAGGAAAGGGTGAGGAGGGTGCAAGGGACACAGGCCGTGGGCCCACAGAAGGAATGTATTTTCAGTGCTAAAACCTGAAGAGAGCTCAGAAGTCCATGGGTGGCTACAGTGGGATTTGTGATCTGCTCTCTAAAGAATATGAAATAAGGCTCAAAACCTGAGATTGAATAAAGGCTAGGAAATGTCACCTAAGAACAGACTAGCTCCAGAACAAGAGAAACTGGTCCTAAAGAGGGAGGACAGAAATCTTGGATGCCAAGACTGATAAAGGGAAGAAAAACAGGAAAGAAAGAAACAAAGACGACAGTAACCCAAATTAAGTCAAACCTAAGAATTTCCTCAATGTCTCAGACAGTCCCACGCCTGCCTTTCCACTCTCAAAAAAGCAGCACGATAGCAGTTTTATTACTAAAGTATTTTTAGGGTGTCTATCCTGTCTATACCCTCTTCTCTGAGAACCCCACCCCCCATCTCCCACCTGAAGGAGCAGGCTGCTGGTGCCCTGTGTGGCAAGGCAGACCAGTCAGGGGTAGATAGATACACGATCAATGTGCTGGGCTGATCTTACTCTTTCTTGAGAAAATGAACCAAGAGGCACTGGGAATCTGTTAATGGTGATCCCTAGAGCTGGGAGGTCATGTGGACTTGAGGACTGGGGTGCCTCTTTTGGGGCTTTGCAAGCCGACAGACTGACAAGCAGGAGAAAGGACATGGCGCAAAGTTTCACAGTTCAAGCTCCATGCAAGAATCAGCTGTACTTATACTGGATTCTGTGAAATACCCTGCATTCTTATGACTCCCTCCTTTCTTTAGCTTAAATACTTCTGTTTCTTGCATCCAAAGGATTCCTAAACAGGAGAATCAAAGATACAACCTTGACCTTCTTCCACTATGCACCCTCCATGCATTAAATGGCTATATGCATTTCTAAAGAAAGACTGTGAATATAGATTGAGATCAAAGTAGTGATAGTAATGCTTTATATGCTGAGTCAGAATACTTTAGATTGAATTTCTAAAGCCTGAAAGTCTAGGAGAATGATGATGTGTTGATTTTGATACTAAGTTCTAGGGTCGCTAAGCTCTCTAAGCTCCTTACCCCAGGAGGGAAAGGCTGACATTTTTGAGAACTGAGTTCAATCTATTTTACTGCCTGGCTCTTGGGAGACTGAACAACTCTGGCTGAAGATCAAGACCTAAAGACAGGCTCCCATCCCTCTCCCACACTTTCAGCCCTTCTAAGACATAGGATTAGCTGCAAAGGTTGTTGAAGAATTGAAAAACAAATTCCCAAATAGAATGAGAGATGGTGACAGAGCCCAGAAAGGTTATAAGGAAGCTTCCCAACAAGGGGGTTTAGGGACACAAGCAGCTCAGTAAAAAGATCAAGGAAGGCATTAGATTGAAAAGGGGACTGTAGGCAGATGTTTGCTTAAACATTTAACTGCCCTATTGTGCAACTATGAACCAACATAACCCTCAAGCCACCAAACAGATTCCACTGAAATACATAAATATGGTCGGTATCCATAAGACTTACACTGAGGAATCTCCCAGACATTATCAAAGCTATAGGAAGACAACAGGGGTTAATGAGAGAGTCTTGAACTGATTTTACCTGGAACAGCTCTATAAGGAAATACATGTCTACATAAAAGAGTTGTAAACAAAATTTGCACAACCTTATTGGAAAGGGCTATTTTAGGGCCAAATGCAAGTGCTAGACAGCCAAGTACTATCCCCCAACATCAGTAAATTACCATGTGGTGGCAGAGAACACAGAGCTGACACTTCTGGCACATGGTAATCCCTCATAAACACTTGCTGAATGAACAGATGAACCGTTAAAACAGCCAGGCCAATGGTCAGAATTCTGTTATTCCATGGACAGTGGTCACTGCCGAGTCAGAAAGGCCAATGGCAGGAAGGGGAGCTTACAACCAGTTTGGGAAGAAGGTCTATAACCCTGTCATGATGTGAGGTAGGAGAATATTCCGCATTAACACCACTGCTGATCACCCACAAAAAGGTCTAGATTTTGTTAATGGTGTCTCAAAGGGAACACATAGCTGGTCCCTACTCTGCAAGCAAATTTACAAAAATTCATTTGTAAGGTTGCTGTTTGGACCATAAAATATATTTTACTTTTCTATAGAGGAAATAACTACTTTAAGTATGAAGAATAAGTGACCCCCATCTCCAAAACGACTTTTTTAATCCACAAAACAGTTAAATGTTCCTAACAGTACTATCCCAGATCCTGGGCCCCGGTGTTGTCTGTATCAGAAGAGAGGGAACAGAAGAACGGCAGAATGCGCAGGGTGGGGTTGGGGGGAGTGAGAGGGGGCTAGTGGAAGAGCACGGCCATCCACAGGTGTAGACCACTGCTGACATAAACGCTAACAGACAAAATGCTGAGACGATGAGCTGCCCCATCTATTATTTACCTAAAGGGAGGTATATCATAGAGCCCACAGGTGTTTTCCACGTTGAGAACACCCTACTTTAATGGAAGGAGTATGAGAGGGGCAGCTGATTAAGTACTGCAAAGCAGCCACCCAGCAACGAGGCATGCTACACAACCCCAGAGAGACAGAGGGAAAGCAGGAGATTGGGCTGAATAGAACAGCTTAATGCATTCGAGAAAAAGGAAAACATCTATGTGGTTATTACCTTATCCACCTGAAGTTAACAGAAGAGGAACCATTTGTAAGTAGGAGGGGGAAAGGAGATGGGTTTTCCCAAAATGGCAAAACTCAAAATAAAGCCCGCTTTGTGAAGGGGCAATTTTAGTTAAATTCAGAGCAGAGCCAAAGAATTAAAAACTGTGACACAAATGGAGGATGAAGAATGAGTTACTGGCGTCTTAGTCAAAGGAAATTTAAGAAATTGAAGTTTTGGAAATATCCTCAAAACAAGAGACATGTGAAAACTTTCCTGAGGCTTGCTTGACAAGCTCAGGCATGGACCCAGGTGTGCCCTCAGAGCACCCAGTCAAAGAGAAAACCCCTCATAGAATGGTCTAAAACGTTGAAAGCCTGCAGATACACAGATGACAAGCTATCAACCAAGCCAATCAACAGTGCACATGTTCAACACAGGGATCTGGCACCCCAGTTTCAGGGCTGACCCGCCGAGCTACACAGGTCCTCAATTAGGAAAAGGAAGAATGAACTTGCCCTTAGCCTATCTAAGTAAGGACATAATCTCCAAAGACGACTTTGGATGCACTGAAAAGACAAAAGACATGCAGAACCTGTGCTTTGTTCTCTTGACAGATCTTCAGTCTATGGGCAACACCTGCAGACAGGGACAAACTCCAGTGTGGACAGGCATGGAAACTGCTGCCATTTTTTCCTAGTTCTCTGCCTAGGCCTTCAACATCTAAACAAAAAGCCAAACTGAGTGTTACCACAAACAAAAGGAGAGGCGAGGTTACTGTTTCCTACTCACTGCCACTTTCCCCTGCCCCTCCACCCCAATTCAAGACCTCCCGCACCTGACGGGGGGCTGTGCTGTTTTCTGCCATGTAGAGGAGACGGTGGGTAACCATGGCAAATCAACAATAAGTCCTGGACTGTCTACTCTGGGAATGTAAATAGCTCTGAGGCAAGAGGATAAAACCAAAAGATCTACGAGTAGCTGCAAGCCAAGAGAAGAGTTAGAAAAAGTTTTAGTTCCAAAGATGACAAGACGGAAAAGAAAACAGATCTAAGGAGAGTCATTCCTGTCTGGAACTAAAGACAAAAGCATGGTTTAGATTTTGAGGAGGGTAGATTTATCAAAGAGCAGGCTTGCTTCTGACAAGGAGGAAGATTACACCCTGCTAGGGATGTCAGCAAGGCTTGGGATGGAGAACTAACTGAACTCGAGGGGTCGTTTAGCAGTATCTACAGGAACTGACTAATGGTGCTCCACGCTGGACTCTGAATCTTCTTTATGAACCTGCAATTACACAAACTGCTGGGCTCTTCACATACTGTCTCTGACTATTGTAAAGTCATTTATTACACTAACTGATGTCTAATTACTGTGGAGAATGCAGTCACTAAAGAGTATGTAGGACCTAAGGTAAAGAGGAAAGGGGAAGGAGATGCTACATTCCCAAAGCCATAGGCACAAGAGAAAACCAAGTCATCAGTGGCACCATGTAGGATTGGTGCTAATTATCAGCAAAATGCTGTGCTACCATGGGTGGTATCCCCATTCCTTACAGGGCAAAGAAAAAAATCATTTCTGAAAATATAACCTGGCTCATGTTCAAAGGGAGACACCCATATAAGCTGGAATTCAATGGGAAGAAAAACTGAATAGTTAAATCCTCATTGTCTATTTTGTGCATTTTATGTTTAATAAGCTAAAGAGCATGTGAATGAAGCTTCCTAAAAGCTTCATGGTATTCGGGCCAGAGAGCCATGCTGGAAACAAATATTCTTCCCTTGCCATTAAGTAGAAAAACTCATGACTACATTAGAACACATACCTGGCACCAAGGCAACTGACTCCCACAGGGAGGGCATGGAATGTATTTAAAGGCATCTATCTCAAATCAGTCATTAATTAATTAGGATAATTAAAACATCTTATTTGAACAGATTCAATGTTCCTATAGAAACAGTGCTTTGGAGTGACCAGTGTTAGCTGCTAGCATCAAACATGACTATACTGACACAGCAACAGTACTTTTTTTCCCACCTATCTACCAAACAAACCAACACCAGCACACATATTAAAGAACATCCTATAAGCCACTAGGCTTTAGTAAGGCTGGTCATAGCAAGCCCACTGCCAATGACAGACACCAAGGAGAAGGAGGAGGGAGGAGACAGGGGAAAGGACAGAGGCAAGGTGTTCTAAAAATAGGAGACTTTTAGCTATGCACATGAGAATCCAAGCCAAAGGGGAGTGTGGGGTTGGGTATAATACCACAGTAGACGGAAGTCTTTAAAAGATTCCTTCCTAAACCTCTTGTGCTAATTCCCTGCCTCGGATTAACACAGCAAGTTAATCTTATAATCACAGGACACACATACAACCACAGACAGACAGACAGACAGACACACACACACACACACACACACACACGACCACATCCTTAACCCAGGAAAGTCTTAAGTCCTCAATTAGGATTTACAGCACAATACTTCTCCTACTGCTTTCTGGACCGTTCCCCAGGTAGGCTACCATTTAATAAAAATCCACACTCTCTCTAAGTGGGGACTGAAGGACACCTTCAAATGTACTCTCAAAACAAATAAAATAATAAAACACACTAGCTGCTCCATTTTCATTCCACTGCATTGAAATCTTGAAACCACAGAGGTGATATCCCACAGACAGGGCAAGACTTCACTGTGAAGTCTCCAAAGGAACCTCTGCTCCTGTTGGTGCGACTTGAGCAAGAGCTCCCCGCTCTCTGGTCCTCTAAAGCTGCAGCAGGGAGGTGATGTGCTAGGTGGCTACATGGGCAGGAGAAGAAATAGAAACAAACTCCCGGAGGATATTTTTGGCCATTTCAATGTTGTTGTGGGCAATGACCAAAGCTTTCTGAATGTCCTGGTAGGAGTATCCCTGACTCATGAGGTTCTCAATCTCGCTGGAGAGCTGTGGCGAGGCGGCAGCAGCAGCAGCAGCAGCAGCAGCAGCAGCAGCACCACCCTGCTGACAGCTACCCGCAGCTTTTCGTTCAGAGTTGATTCTCCGAGGGAATGGTTTGGGAGGCCTTTCAGGAACTTGGGAACCCTCAGTGAAGTCTAGAAGAAATAGGAAAGAAAATACTTGCAAATCCAGGGGAAAATCCTCATTTAATGGCAGTAATAACAACAACAATGTGCTAATATCAAGATATTACTGACCTACTGTCAATTGGGTACATGTGCTTTTCAGTCACAAGGCTGGTTTTACAGGTTCAAGGGTTTTAGTATATAGCCTCCTTCTCCTCATAACAGAAGAGACCTTCTAAATATACTATGCACCTGTCCTACTAACAATAGAACATCTGCATTTGCATCATGCTTTATGCTTAGCAACAAGTTTTCACACACATTATTGCCTGGATTATTTTTTAAAAATTTGAGGGGACCAGAGAAGACACTAAACTTCCCCTTTGTTACAAATAAGGAAACAGAAATAAGCCGAAGCTGCAGTGGAGAAGCATTAAATGAGGTTGGCGGGTGGGGATCACGGCCTGTTTGAGCAACTGGATGCTGTCTATCTTTTTCATCAGCTGTCCTGAAGGCCGTCTTCAATTTCCAAAGTGACAGTGACTGTTGCCTCCCCGGGCGGCCACAAGTGCAAGAAGAGCAGCCCTCGACAGTGAAGGCCCAAATGTGGGCTGGCTCCAGGCCCGTTCAGTGTGCTTTCCAGAGCCAGCACATCTCCCTTCCTATGGGATGGGGCCCAGAAGTCAGGAATGTGTGATCTGAACCATCAAGCGTAATTACCACTGTCATAATGCACACTCAGAAGAGCCAGATATCCTATCTACCACCAGCACAGGACGAGCCATGGTTTAAGGAATAACAACATTTCCAAGTCTGGCAAAATCCTAAAGACTCTGACTATAGTTTAACTTGCTAATTTGAGAACCAGGACCAGCTTTCCTCCTATTTAGACATAATTTTTAGTCTACTACTTCTACCTGCTGACTTATTGTCACTAGGCAGTCATCTCGGTTTCAAGACACATTAGGAGCCGTACAGCAATTTAGTACAAACCCAAGGTAGCCTGGAGACTCACTTGTTGTGGGATCACCTTCCAGAGACAACCAGCCGAAGGAGGAGCTGGCATTAGAGATATCTGAGAGAGTTCGGCGGGCCAGCACTGCCGGCACAGGTGGCTTAGGGACATCGTACCCATCATCCTCATTTTCTGATTCCTCAGGGCCAGTGTTGGCATGGGCTGCAGCCAAATTCCCCTCACCTAGAGAAAAGTTTGTGCAGTTATCTTCTTCTTCTAACACATTTCAGTATAGGGGCATCCATTCATTCATGCACGGACAGAATCAGTTACTGAATATCCACCATGGGCCAAACACCATGTGAGGCCCTGTGGGTAGAGATAAAAGAAACAGAGAAAATAAAATCTGCACCAATCTTGCAGCTCTACTTTTCTGAACATGTCAAAAGCTACCCTTGTCAAGGTTAATAGCCACTGATGCCAAAGACTCAAGTGCCATTTTATAGCATTCATTCAGTATTTCTATCTGCATTTCGCCTTGGAATTTCAGCCCAAGAGCCGTATGTGCGCTGCCTTCTTGAACTTTCAACTTGGTAAGCTAGTTAATATGGGAATTGAGTATTGACCACCCTACACACAAAAGAATTTCATCAACACTAAAAAGCAGTGGGAATAACAAGCAGCTGCCAGCATTGTAGGTCCAGGCCATATTACACAAAGGTCTCCAGGCCCTGGAAGGATGAAAAAGCACAAAAGGAGCTAGCTGTATGAACAGGAAATAAAAGAGAGGAGGGCGTTTTACTGCCCATGGATCAAACATATTTTGCAAAGAAAATTATTTAAAAGAGTTTTCCACTTAGATCAAGCTATCTCATTAGCCAAATATTACAGGCTCATTCCTATGGCACATCAATGATTTTTAAAGTAGCAGAAAGGCTACTCACCAAAGGTGCTGCTCTCTGTGACAGATGGTGCTGCCTGGGACTGAATATTATACATTGCCTCATATGTACAGCTATCAACCTGCTGGTCACAATCACATGCTCTGAACCGGAAGGAAAGTGGCATAATGAGCTTCAGAATCAGATAACTCTTGTTATCTCCAAAGTTATTACGATTCATCTATTCACAACTACTCTAGAACCTAATTCTATCAAGATAATACATTCTCCTTTTGCCAGTATCACTAATAAATGTCATGAGATTGACTCTTGTGACAAGTAATAGACATATGTTTTTGAAATTACTGTGATGTTGAGGAATCCTAAGTGGAATTGATCACAGCTGCAAGAGGCTTAAACATTAGGGGCTAGATACATCTTTCTGCTTTAATTCTGGCTGGATAACGCTATGTGCAAGTAGCAAGCCAAGCAGGTGAGTGGTGTCAATTGAATTCCCAAATAGGATTGTTGTGAACGTACCGTGAACTCTGGGCTGTCTCCAAAGGCCGTTTCACCTCTGGCTTTGGAAGCCCTACAGGCCTAGAGGAGGGAGTCATGTACTCTGTGTCCTCCTCACTTTCACACTGTTCCCCAGATGGCAGCTTTGGCACAGGAAGAGGTCTGGAAGATGAAGAATAAAAAACAGAAAAAAAAAAAGAAAAAGAATTAACAAGCAGGAAAACATTCAAGTATGAGATAAGTGGCTTCAAAACAAGACCACAACTCAAATTTGATATAGCAAAATAGATGCCACCTAGGAAACTATTATTTCTCCTAGCCAAGAAAGTTAATTATTAAAAAACACACTAACTGGGCCAGCTCCATGGCATAGCGGTTAAGTGTGCATGCTCCACTGCTGGCGGCCCGGGTTCAGATCCCGGGCGTGCACCGACGCACGGCTTGTCAGGCCATGCTGTGGCAGCATCCCATATAAAGTGGAGGAAGATGGGCACGGATGTTAGCCCAGGGCTGATCTTCCTCACAAAAACAAAAAACAAAAAACAAAAAACACACTAACTTAAAATTTCACTTTCAGCTGACCAAAGGTGCAGCTATTTTGTTTGAGATGTGTTACACTGGGATAGTACTTGATACCAGTTATCTCAGTCCCCAAACAAGTTAGAGTCCCACTCCAGGAGCTAGTATGCCAGTTTTTCTTTCACTAGGCATGAAACAAGATACAGGAGGTGGCTTTCTGACAATGTGCTAGGAATATATACCAAATCTCAATTCTAAAATCTACCTATGGTTCCAAAGAGTATACAGCTAGTCAAAAGCGTTCTCATATGTTATCTCATAGGATAAACATTTTTTCCTCCTCATTTTATACAAGAAAGATCTGAAATAAAAAGACAGAAAGTGCCTTGGTAGTTAGCATCAACTCTGGGACTAGACCTCAGATCTTCTGACACCTGCGCCAGGGATCTTGCCATCATACCCATATGTAACTCTCACCCAGAAGCTTCTGAAACAAAACTTCTCTTGCCACCCTGCCCCCTGAAACTAGACAAAGACCAAAAAAACAAAAAACCATGAGATTATGTGAGAAACACACACGTGCACACGTGCACACACACATACACAAAGTTGCTTCTGAGAATGTGAATTAACGAGTGTTCTCCCTTCCTCATCATACTTTTTTGTACATTCTGAATACTCTATAAGGAGCGCCCATTGCATTTGTCTGTGTTTACTTAATGTTTATTTTCCCTAACTATAAAAGCAATAGCTGCTTACTATAAAACACTTAAATGCTACAGAAAACTAACACAGAATGACAGCCCCCTTTAATCTCACCTGAGATTTTTTCTTATGTCTACATATTACTTTTATTATTTGTGCATTGCATGCTGAAGTTTTGAGGTGGAAGTGTACTAGTATCTAAAATTTGCTTTGAAATGTGTCAAAAAAGATAGATTGATGGATGGGTAGAAGTATAGACAGACAGACAAACGTGTGATAAAAAAACAAGCATAATAAAATGCTAATGGTAGAATGCAGGTGGTGAGTATAGGGATACTCACCGTAAAAATCTTTCACCTTTACTATATGTTTGAAACTTTTCATAATAAAACATTGGGAGGGAAACAATCCATAGAGATGAAGAAAAAAAATACTAAGTATTGGTGAAGATGTAAGGAAATGGGTACTTTCTTATATAGTTTTAGAAATAAGAAATTAGAAATATAATTCAGCAAAAGTATCTAACCAAACACGCATACCCTTGGACTCAGAATTCCATTTCTAAGAATCTTCCTTAAGGAAATAATCAAGTATATTCATTATAGCATTATTCATAAGAAAATAATCAAGAATATTCATTGTAGCACTATTTATAATACTGAAAAAATAGGCAACAACCTGTCAAATAATAGTGTATTGAATAAATTCTGGATCACACATACAGCAATATATTGGAAGTCTACTGTGTCCCTGAGTATCTTAGAGGTTCCAAGCAGGAGCCTCAGAGGCCCACTTCTGCTTCTACCACAGTAGGTCTGTTCTCATCTATTTCACATACTGACATTCCACTTAAGTCAGTTCCACCACTTTGCAATCACCTGAAATAATTGTAGTAGAAGAATATGTAATGACATCCTAAGATGTTCAAGATATTCCTTGTGAAAAACAGCATGTATAACATGATTCCACTCACACAACAATGGCAATGAACATTTATCAAATTGCTAACTACTGTCTTTTAGGTGGTTACTATTATGGATAACTTTTATTTCTTCAGTGTCACTTATCTGTATTTTCTAAATATTCTTTAATTAACACATATTACTTTCATAAAGAGAAAAAGGTCATTAAAAGGCACTCAAAAATTTTAATTATAGTTCTTTTTGTTGATGATAAAAATATAAAATTGCACCTCCTCATTAAGCATTTTGGCAATACATACTTTAAAACATTCACATTCTTTTGTCATAGTAGTTCTACTTTGGCTGTATCTCTGTTTATGTACAAAGATGTTCACTGAAACAAATTCATTACAATAAAAGCTTTTAAACAAAATAAATATCCAACAATAAGGGAATGGTTAAATATGTGAGGTTATAGCCACATTATATAATAATATGCAATCATTAGAAGTGCAGATTTTGAAGAACTTTTTAAATGATAGGGAGAAATGCCCAAGATACAATGCTAAGTTAAAAAAAAAAGGAAGAATATAAAACCATAACTTGATTTAAAACATATACACATTTCACATGTCTACAGCCATGGCCAAGAAGCAAGCATCATCTAACCATCTGCCTAGAATAGCTAGCTATAAAAGCAAGATAAAATACAAAAGAAAGAAGACACTGGAGAGCAACCAGGCAGCCAAGACTTGAGAGGCTAAGATTCCAAGAGAAGAATACACTTAAGTAAGTCCCATAGTAGGGGTTCTGAACTTGGGGTCTGAAGGTAGTTTCAACAGGCTGGGGAGAGAGGGACTAGAATTTTGGGGGTACTGTGATGGCCAAGACATGAGGGGCCAAAAATTTAGAGAAGGGAACAGCAGAGAAGTAGATTTGAAATTCTGCCTATAATTTTCCCTAGAGCTACTGCTAACCCCTAAACTGTGTATGCACGCGGCTAGATACCTGAGAGACCAAGAAGAAAGTAGCAACTGAGGAGCTGAACAGACACTGTGATTGTCTTGCCAAGCTGGAGAGACAAGGTTGGAGTTACCAGATATGGCCTTTAAAATAATTATAATTTATATCTCCAATAAAAAAAGGAGGATAGAGAACTTTATTAGAAAACTATAACCAAAAAATTTTTAAAAATCACATGGAAATTCTAGAACCTAAAAACATAGTATCTGAAAATACAAATTCAATAGATGGATTTAAGGCAGATTAGAAACTGCAAAAGAAAAGATCAGGGAAGTGAAATCTTGTAGAAACTAGTCAGATTAAAATAAAGAGAGAAAAAAAATGGAAAACAGAAATGAGCATAAGAGCTATTATGAGACATGGTGAAAAGACTGAACATTCAGGTAACTGGAGTCACAGACGGAGAGGAGAAAGAGACTGCACTATTCAGTTTATTTTAAGAAATAGTGGCCAAAAATTTTCTAAAACTGATTAAAAACATCAAACCACAAAATCAGTAAACTACAAACCTTATGAAGGATAAATATAAAGAAAACTACATAGGAGTATTATAGTAAAACTGATGGGATCCAAAGACAAAGAGGTCTTATAAGTGGTCATAAAAGAAACATTACCTTTAAAGGAGCACCATTAAGTCTGAGAGCTAATTTTTCAACAGAAACAATGGAAGCCAGCAGGCAGTGGAATGACATTTTTAAAGTGTTAAAAGAAAATAATTCCAGAATACTGGAATAATTCAGAATACTATACTCAGCAAAAATATCTTTAAGAAAAATCAAAGTGAAATAAAAGATATTTTCAGTCAACCAAAATTTGGGAGACTCCACTGATAGAAGATACACACACAGACACAGACACACAGACTCTCTAAAGGAAGTTCTTTGGGGAGAAAGAAAAACATTCCAGATAGAAGTATGGCAAAGCAGGAAGAAATGAGAAGTACTAGAGTGTAAACATGTGGGAAATTTAAGTGTGCAAGAAGCATTAAGAGGCACTGATTCAAGGTAGACTCTAATGAGTCAAGGGTGAATGTTGGAATCCCTAGGATAACTATTAAAAGAATAACAGAAGGGGTGAAATGACATAATAAAAAAAACTTTAATCCAAAAGAAAGCAAGAAAATAGAAAAAAATGAACAATGAAAAGATGGAGAAAAGAGCAAGAACAAATATTCCAATTACTGTAAGATAAAGAATGCTAGACTGGATTTAAGAAAAAAACAACAAGTATATATAACTGCCTACAAGAAACATCTTTTTTTTTTAGGTGTTTATCATAGAAACATACCTTATAAATATAAGAACATAGAAAAGTTGAAAGTAAAAGGATGGAAAAAGATCATGCAAACACTAACTAAACGGGAGGTGATGTAGCCATTTTAATGTAAGACAAAGTAGACTTCAGGGAAGTAAGAAGTAGACGTAGCGAGTAAATGTAATAATAAAAACAATTCTCATGTAATCAATAGCTCTAAATTTCTATGTACCTTAATTACATAGGCTAAATACATACACAACACAAATGAACAGAACTAAAAGGAAAAAAGAGAAATCCACAATCATAAGGGGAAAACTTAACATACTCCTTATAGTATCTGATAGAACAGGTAGATAAAAAAATATTAGCAGAGAGATAGAAGATATGAACACAGTTAACAAACTCGACCTCAGTGACATATATAGAATGCTATACCAACAACTGCAGAATACATATTTGTATGAAGTGAAGGTGGTACATGTTACTGGAATTTACCGTAAACTACTCAGTAAAGAAGGTCTCAACAAATGTCAGAAATGGAAAGCACAGAGTATGGTTTCTGACCACATTGGAATGAAGCTAGACAGCAGTAACAGAAAGACAACTAGAAAATCTTCCAATCTTTGAAAATCAGGCAACACATAAATAACCGATGAACCAAAGAAGAAATCAGAAATGGAAAAAGCATATATTTTGAAGTGAGCAACAATGAATATATGACATATCAAAATTTGTGGAATGCAGCTGAAGCATGTGTTATGGACTGAATGTTTGTGTCCTCCCAAAATTCATATGTTGAAGCCCTAATACCCAGTGTGGCTGTATTTGGAGACCAGGCCTCTGAGGAAGTAATTAAGGCTGGATGAGGTCATAAGGGTGGGGTCCTGATCCAATAGGATTGGTGTCCTTATAAGAAGTGATACCAGAGAGCTTGCTGTCGTTCCCTCCTCGTGTGCACATATCCAGGAAAGGCCATGTGAGGACACAGTGATAAGGCTATGCAAGCCTGCAAGCCAGTAAGAGATTCCTCACCAGAAATCGACTACGCTGACACCCTTAGCTTGGATCATTCTTCTCAAGTGCACAAGGGACATTTCCAGGAGACAACATGTTAGGCCACAATCTAAGTCTCAATAGATTTAGAAAGATAGATATCATACAAAGTATCTTCTCTGACCACAATGAAATGAAGTTAGAAATCAGTAACAAAAGTAAAACTGAAAATTCACAAAATTGTGGAAATTAAACAATACATTTTTAAACAACCAATTGATTAAAGAAGAAATTACAAGAGAAATTATAAAATATTTAGAGGTGAAGGAAAACAAAAACACAATATACCAAAACTTATGGGATGCAGCGAAAACAGTGCTAAGGGGGAAACTAATAGCTATAAATGAGTACATTAAAAACCAAGAAAGATCTCAAATAAGCAACCTAACTTTATGACTTAAGGAACTAGAAAAAGAACCAAATAAACCCAAAGCTAGCAAAAGGAAGGAAATAATAAAGATTAGAGCAGATAAATGAAATAGAGAATAGAAAAACAATAGAGAACATCAATGAAATCAAAAGTTGGTTCTTTAAGAAGATCAACAAGGGGTCAGCCCAGTGGCGTAGTGGTTAAGTGCGCGCCCTCCACTTCGGAGGTCTGGGGTTCAGATTCCAGGCGCACACTGACGAACCACTTGTCAAGCCATGCTGTGGCAGCGTCCCATATAAAGTGGAGGAAGATGAGCACAGATGTTAGCCCAGGGCCAGTCTTCCTCAGCAAAAAGAGGAGGATTGGCAGATGTTAGCTCAGGGCTGATCTCCCGCCCCCCCCCAAAAAAGATCAACAAAACTGACAAATTTTATCTAGATGGACTAAGAAAAAAGAGAGGACTCAAACTACTAAAATTAGAGATGAAAGTGGGGACATTACTACCGATTCAACAGAAATGAAAAGGATTATAAGAGAGTACTATGAACAATTGTATGCCAAAAAATTGGATAACCTAGATGAAATGGACAAATTCCTAGAAACACAAAACTTACCAAGAGTAAATCACAAAGAAATAGACAATAGACAATCTGAATAAACCTATAACTAGTAAGGAGATTGAATCGGCAGTCAAATATCTCCCAAGAAAGAAAAGCCCTTACCTGCAGCTTCACTGGTGAATTCTACCAAACATTTAATGAAGAATTAATAACAATCCTTCCCAAACTTTTACAAAACAGTGAAAACTTCCTAACTCATTTTACAAGACCAGCACAACTATGATACAAAGCTAGACAAAGACACTAAAAGAAAAGAAAACCACAGAACAATGTCCCTTATGAACATTGATGCTAAAAGTCCACAAAAAAATACTAGCAAAAAATACGCAGCAGCCTATTAAAAGGATTATACACAATGGCCAAGTGGGATTTATACCTGAAATGCAATGATGATTCAACATAGAAAAATTGATCAACATAATATACCACATCAACAAAATGAAGGAAAAAACCCACATATCATCTCAATTGATGCAGAAAAAGCATGTGACAAAATTTCAACACGCTTTCGTGATGAAAACACTCAATAAAATAGAAATACAAGGAAAGCATCTCAACATAACAAAAGCCATATGTGAAAAACCCACAGCAAGCATCATACTCAATGGTGGAAGACTGAAAACTTTTCCTCTAAGATCAGGAACAAGGCAAGGATTCCTGCTTTCACCATTTCTATTCAACATAGTGCTGAAAGTTCTAGCGAGATCAACTAGGCAAGAAAAAGAAATAAAAGGCACCCAAACTGGAAAGGAAGAAGTAAAATTATCTCCCTGTTTGCAGATAATGCGATCTTACATGTAGAAAACCCTACATACTCCACAAAAGAGATATTAGAACTAATAAATGAATTCAGCAAAGTAATAAGATACAAAGCCAACACACAAAAATCAGTTGCGTTTCTATATACAAACAATGAACAATCTGGAAAGGAAATTTCAAAAACAATTCCATTTGCAATAGCATCAAAAAGAATTTAAATTAACTTAACCAGAGGTGAAAGACTTGTACAATGAAAACTACAAAACACTGCTGAAATAAATTAAAGATCTAAATAAATGGAAACACATCTTATGTTCATGGATTGGAAGACTTAATATTATTAAAATGTCAGTACTACCCAAAGCGATCTACAGATTAAATGCAACCCCTATCAAAATCCCAATGACGTTTTTTGCAGAAATATAAACTCTCACATATATAGTTAAATAATTTTTGTCAAGGGTGCCAAGACCATTCAATGGGGAAAGGACAGTCTTTTCCACAAATGGTGCTGGGAAAAATGGATATTCACATGCAAAGAATGAAGTTGGCACAGGACAAAAGATTCATGACATTGGATGTGGCAACAATTTCTTGGATACGACAGCAAAGACACAGGTAACAAAAGAAAAAATAGACAAATTGGACTTCATGAAAATTTTAAAATTTTGTGTACCAAAAGATACTATCCAGAGTAAAATGGCAACCCACAGAATGGGGGAAAGTATTTGCAAATCATATATCTGATAAGGGATTAAAATCCAGAATATATAGAGAACTTCTAAAACTCAACAGCAACAGAAACACAAACTGATTAAAAAATGAGCAAAGACCTTTTAAATAGACATTTCTCCAAAGAAGATATATCAATGGCCAATAAGCACATGAAAAGATGCTCAACACCACTAACCATCAGGGAAACGCAACTCAAAACTACAATGATATACCATCTCACACCCATTAGGACGGCCTACTATTAAAAAAACAGAAAATAGGGGCTGGCCCAGTGGCATAGTGGTTAAGTTCACGCACTCTGCTTTGGCGGCCCAGGGTTTGCGGGTTCGGATCCCGGGCGCAGACCTACGCACTGCTTATCAGGCCATGCTGTGGCAGGCGTCCCACATATAAAGTGGAGGAAGATGGGCACATATGTTAGCCCAGGGCCAATCTTCCTCAGCAAAAAGAGGAGGATTGGCAACAGATGTTAGCTCAGGGCTAATCTTCCTCACCAAAAACAAACAAACAAACAAAACAGAAAATAACAAGGGTTAGCGAGGATTTGGAGAAATTGGAACCCTTATGCATGGTTGGTGGGGAATGTAAAATGGTGTAACTGCTGTGGCAAACAGTACAGTGGTGCCTCAAAAAGTTAAAAATAGAACTACCATACAATCCAGCAATTCTACTTCTGGGTATACACCCCAAAGAATTAAAAGTAGAGTCTCTAAGAGATATTCGTTCACCCACATTCATAGCAGCACCATTCACAATAGCTAAAACATGGAATCAACCCAAGTGTTCATCAACTGATAAATGGATAAGCAAAATGCGGTATATACATAGACTAGAATATTTTTCAGCCTTAAAAAAGAAGTTCTGCAGTATGCTACAACATGGATCAACCTTAAGGACATTATGCTAAGTGAAATAAGCCAGTCACAAAAAGACAAATACCGTATGATTCCTCTTATATGACATATTTAGAGGAGTCAAAATCATAAAGACTGATAGTGTAACGGTGGTTGCCAGGGGCTGGGGGAGGGGAGAACAGGGAGTTACTGTTTAAGAGGTATAGAGTTATAGTTTTACAAGATGAAAAGTGTTATGGGGATGGATGGTGGTGATGGTTGCAAAATGTGAATGTATTTAATACCACTAAACTATACACCTATAAATGGGTAAGATGGTAAATTTCATGTCATGTGTATTCTACCACAAAAAAAAAGCAGATACCTAAGAATTAAAATTAAAAAACTATAAGAATTAAGAAAAGAATCTTTTAAAAAAATCAACAAAACCAAAATTGCTTCTTTGAGAAGACTGCTAAAATAGATGAGCCCCAGCAAAACTGATCTATGAACACATACAAAGAGAAAAGAATGGAAGCAAATAGTCCAAAACATAAAATATGATAATTTTTACATGAAGCAAATACAGACCAATTTTTATTTTCTTCTTTATATTCCTGTGGGTTTTCTAATTTTTCTGTTAGTAAGCTGTTTTAAAGTATCAACTCAAGTACCAACTCCACTGTATGAAATATAGCTTTTAGTAAACTTACCTGGCAGCCAGAGAATAAATGGCATTGGCAGATGCTGAAGGTTTGATTTTGGGGTGCTCATACTCTGGACCTGCCAATGGGCTGCAATTCATATTCTGGAAAAAAAGTGTTGAAAAAGAACCTTCTTAACACAGCTAAGTATCTCCTTTCACTTGTTTACCCTATTCCAAATAACAAGAACAATAATATAGACACAGACCTCACTCCCAATGCCATGCTTAGGCGCTGTTACATTTGACAAAAGCATAGTTGCTTTTCAAGCTCTAAAGAAAGTTCAAACGTAAGGGTTAGGGAGACAGATCTAAAAAGAGCCAAGGAAATGAGGTTTTTTGTTTGTTTTAGTTCTAGAAAGATTTGAGGAAACTGGCTGTCTACACAAATACCTTTTCTATCTTTCAAATTCTATACATCTTTCTACATTGATATCACCAGAAAGTCAAACCTAATCCACTCTCACTAATTAGACTATCACATAGATGCCATTTAAATGTAAGTTACCCTCCCATTTCCCTTGCAACCAAGAAATATGCAGTTCATTTAAGAGCCACAGCATTCCTCAACGTCACCCTTCCAGTTCCCCCTTTTTCTTAGATTTCCAACTACCAACTCGCCAATTCTCCCTTCAATGGCTCATCTGAAATTCAACATGCCTCTAGTTAGCCAGGTTTAAAACCTCAGGGGGTGGGTGGGTGGGGGGGTGTGTGTGTGTGTGTGTGTGTGTGTGTGTGTGTGTGTGGTGGGTGTGTGTGCGTGCGATTTCTTGTCCTTTTTTCCACCCACTGACTGCTTTCAAGCCTCACTGGGTCTTTGTTTCACGCTCTCTAAAGGCCCTACCTAATCTGGCTGTTCCTTTCTTCTCACAGACAATGCTTCTCCCTCTTGCTCACCTAGCACCAGCTATACTAACCCCCTTTGTTATTCCTCAGACAGACTCTCCCAAACTCACCTGCTTTTCCCTTCATCCTGGAATGGGCTTCCTCCAGAATCAGCACGGCTCACTCTCCCTGTTGCTCCAGGTTTTGCTCAAAATTGTACCCCATCGCTCCATGTACCTCCCAGCTCAACTCCAGCTGTCCCTATATCCCTTTTTGGTGCTATTTTTCTCCACAGCACTCATCAGTGTCTGACATTCTATATGTTTTATTAACTTGTTTATTTTCCATCTTTACTCCACTATAATGTAAACTTTGTGAGGGCAAGATTTTTTGTTGAATGCATAAGTGAACTAATAAAAGAAGGAATATACCTCTCCCACCCCCAGTTCTGGACCCTTTATCTCATGGACCACTAACCTGTCTTTTCCAATCTATTCTCTCATCAGTCTATATTCTGCATACTATTACTAGATTCATCTCTTTAAACCATCACTTGGGTCACGTCACTCCGCTAATATAAAGCCTTCAAATGCTCATTTCCTACCAAATAAATTCAAATTCTTTTGGGAGGGGGTATTCAAGACCCTCTAATCTAGTACTAATGCTCCTTTCTAGCCCTTTTTCGTACTCTGATACACAACATTTCTGCTCCACTCAAACTACTTCTTGTTCTACAATATACCTTAAGCATTTCTGTCATTGTAGCTCTGATCTATCTTAAAACTGTACCACTTTGGAAAGAATACTTCAAATTCAGATGCCACTCTTTCCATGAAGCCCTCATAATTCTCTAAAACTTCAGTGTTTTCTATTTATACTACTCATGGCATACACATACACACACACACACACACTTACTGTAGTATTTACAAACATGCCTTATCCACTTTATTAACATACATTTCTTGAGGGTAGGGACTATGTTACATTATCTCTGAATCCTGTATAAAATCTACCACAAAACTTTGATCCATTAAATGCCATTCACAAATACTTGTTAACAGGGAAAATAATTTCAAAATCAAGACTCACCATGGGGGTATCCAGACCGAATGTGCTTCCGAGCCTGAGCACATCTGTTCTGGGTTCCATTTGTGAGGGCAATGAAAATGGAAGTGAGTGTCGGTTGGTTAATTCTCTCCCTATCCAGGGGTCACTAGGGTTTGGGGCAACTACTGGTACTTTGGGGATTGGCCGAGGCAGCCATGATTCCCCAAGGCGGCTAGAGGGGACAGGGGGCAGTTTGTCCCTGGACGGACAGTCGCCTGGTGTACAAGGCAAAGGGCGTCTCTGAGGCCGAGTTTCTGCTCCAACAGAATATGGCCGGTCTGGAGGGGGTGGTGGTGGAAGATCTCGAAGTGTGGGAGGTATTGGTAATGGTTTGTCCTTATGAAGGGAGCCAGAAGCAGCCTGTGGAAGCATGATGGAAGCAAGTCAATCAAAATCCATTAATCCACAACAAAGAATCAGAAAACTGTAGAAATGGATAATGCTTCTTTACCTTAGAAGCAGTTCCAAGACCAGAAGCACCTGAAGGAACAGATACTCGTTGTTGCAGAAGGTCAAGTCGTGGTGGCACTGGAGGAAGGGAAGCTTGTGGGGCCACGGAGAATGGAGAAGGAGGCCGTTCCACCTAACATAAATAAAATTTCCTAATAGGTTGTTCTTGTTTGGGGGAGTGGCATCTTTCAACTCCTTCTAAAGCTGTAGATAGCAAGTACTATCCAAACACTGACTATAACTACCAATGGGTCAGCCTTTGGCCTGGGGTAGAACTTCCTGAATTATTTTTGTGTCACCATAAGAGGGCACTCTCAATCACAGAAACACCACGCAAGCAATAAGCAAAATGTATCACAGAAATGGCTGTGCTACAATAAGCTTCCTAGCTTACAATTTTAAAAAAATATTACAATTTTCCACCTCACCTTCAAAGAAAGAAAAAATCTTTTCAAGATTAAAAATAGAGGGGCCGAACCCGTGGCTTAGCAGTTAAGCACGCGTGCTCTGCTACTGGCGGCCTGGGGTTCGGATCCCAGGTGCACACCAACGTACCACTTGTCCGGCCATGCTGAGGCGGTGTCCCACATAGAGCAACTAGAAGGATGTGCAACTATGACATACA